TCCTTTGTAATGGAAAACTAGAGCTTTTCTTTTCTCTCTTCTAAAAAGGTGTGTTTTCTGGTTTGAGGTTGAGACTAGGGTGTTACTCTTGCTCACAATAGAGTGTAAGCTGATCAGATTTGGCCTTGCCTTTAAAAAGGCTTTTGGCTGACAGGCTGGGGCTATTTCCAAGCTGGGAAGATGAGCAGACCAGCCGGATTCTACAAAGACTTTTTGGGTTTTGTGGATCTCCTGAATAAAGCAGGCTTGGAAGAAGAAGTGGCATCCACTTCCAAAAAGCTTGCCTCTGGAAACTCTATGAACGTGGAGAAAAGATGAAATTTTTTCATTCAAGGGTTGCTATGGGTCTTCTACAACTCTACAGCACTTAACAAGAACAACGACTCTTCTGAATGTATGTTATACACATGCTACTATTCTCTATTTAACTTTTAAGCTCTTAGAATGCCAGGACATTTTATTATGGTTCATCATATGCAATAGTTAACAAATATGGCTGACAGTTATGCATAGAATACAGTTTTGAAGGAATTTAGAAGACGGAGCAATAAATAGTGAATATAGAGCATTTGGAGTAAGAGCAACGTGAAGGTGCTCTAAAGTAAAGAATGACCAGGTTGTGGGTAAAATATGAAAGACATTTTATGCTGAGATCACATGATGAACTAAGGCACAAATATACATAACCTGATGACTGAGACATTGTTGTTGTTAGCAGCCATTTAGTTAACTATAACTTATATCATCCTTATGAAGAACAGATGGGAACCCTGTGAATAAAAAAATTTTTAAAAAGCAGCACTTAGATATTAGATGCCAGCTAATATTGGATAATCTAATAAAAAATGAAGAGATTCCAAATACAGTGACTTCTTGACCACGTTTACCAGACTATGTTCTTTAAGTCATTTATTCATCAAATCTTTTTTTTAGTTCTGGGTAGAAGAGTCTAATGTTAACAGTCTAATGAAACAGAAAGGAATTTAAGAAATTACTGAAAATTATAACTAATATAGATTATATACAAGGTCAGTGGTAGAAAGGAAGAGAAAACTAGAGAGGATTTTTATAGGAAGAGCCAAGGTCTCAAAGAGCTTAACTAACAGATTCAATCATGTGTACATTATTTTGGTTTTCCTAAAGTGAGCTATTGTATCAGAGTTACTTTGAAAGACTTAGGATAACAATAAAGAGCCCTGGTGCCTTTGAGTTGTGGTGCTGGAGAAGAGTATTGAGCATACTATGGACTGCTAAGAGAGCAACCAGGTCTGTCCTTGAGAAGGTAAAACCTATTTAATCTCTGGAGGCAAGGATTTTGCGGCTCTGTTTCACATACTTTGGGCATGAAGCCAGGAGGCACCAGTCCTTGGTGAGGGGGACATCATACTTGGTATGGCGGAGGGACAGCACAAGAGAGCAAGACCCTAGATGAGATGGATTGACTCAGTGATTGGTATGATAAGGACAGGTGTCAGAGATAATGAGATTGGTTCAGGATAAGACAGGCTTCAGAGCCATTGTCCATAAGGTCGCTATGAGTCACAGGTGACTCAATGGCACACACAACAACAACAACAACAAAACTCCCTGATAGTGCAGCGATTAATTGGTTGTTAAATGGAATGTTGAAGGTTCAAGCTCACTAGCAGCACACAGGAGAAAGATGTGGATGTCTGTTTCAGAAAGCTTTACAGCCTTGGAAACTTTATTAAATAGTTCTACTCTACCCTATAGTATCTCTGCAGCAGTGGGTTATGGTAGTTTTTCTTAGTTTGCTTTAGTTTTTTATGGTTTAGGATAACATTGATCTTAAAATTTCATATGGAGTTTTGTTAGAGGTACTTCTGAGAGTTCCTTGGCCCAACCCTAAAATTATATTTAAGATTCTCTTCAAAGCTAAAGTCAGGATATGATTGGGGCAATAACTTTTTTCTTTCTTTCTGAGTTTAGAGAGAGTATCCAGAAAGGTTGGGTTTTCATTCCCTCATTAAGTTTTAAAAATATCAAAGTGAGATGCATTAGTTATTATAGAGACCTGAAATATATAACTTGAAAAGATATTATTGCCTTTTAAATGATAATTGAGTGTATTTGAAATTTGAAAAGAAAGAACAAGGATAATATTGGTTTGGATTTTGCTGAGTTTTCAAAAATATCTCAATGCTCTAGAACTAAATGTAAGTTATTTCTGTTCTCTAAATTATTAATCTAATTTCAATCATTTGATCCTCCAAAAATCCAGGGGAAGAAGGATGTTACCGCGTATTCTCCAACAACTGGAACTTGTCAGATGAGCCCATTTACTTCTCCAGTAAGCTCTAAAGAAGAGCACAGAAGTGGACCATCAAATGGTTAGCTTAATATTCATTTCTACTTATTTTAAGATTTTTCTAGTTATTGGCTAAATCAAGGTTTATATTTAATAATTTATGAATGTTGGTATAGCTGAATTTTATCAAAGACTTCAGTATGGAAAAAACTAGAATATAAGTAATTCTCGATACATAAATGTAAACTTTTTAGGCATTAATTTTAAAATGCTACTGCAGACTTTGTTCCTTTCCAGTCCTATCCATTAAAGAAAAATTATGACCTGACTGCCTTCAGCTACTATCAATAATATGCCCCTTAACAAGCTATCCATCATGTGCATAAATTAAAGGGCATATAATTCAGGTACTGCTGTGCTACAGTTTAAGAGTGATAGTTCTAAATGTTATTTTTAGTCATGTTGTACATTTTACTTTTATCCACATTTAGTGTGTCTTTATATAGCTTGCCTTTATTCATTGTATTTCATTCTCTTCTTTTTTTTTCCCTGTATTATTTTAACAATGTGGGCTTTTTTGTAGAATTTTTCCATTACAGGAAAGACTCATTTTAATGTAAATTTTTTTACTTTGAGGTATTGTTTGATTTTGATCATACATAGCTGTTCTTCTTTGGTAGTTGATTGCATGACACCGATTTTTGTACTATATTTTTTTAGAATACAATGATCTAGATTTCTGAGTTCACTTAGTCCATAGGAGTTGTGCTGCTTACCCACAGACTTAGCCTCTCTGGAAGTTTGAATCCACCAGCAGCTCCACAGGAGAAAGGTGGGCAGTCTCCTCCCATGTGATTTACAACCTTGGAAACATAATACAGGGTCAGCCATGACACAATTCCATCTTGATAAGAATGAATTTTGGAAGAGGGTTGTTGTGTTTTGCCTTTTTTTTT